ACAGGCTTCCATATTATCAGGACAGATTCCAAAGCCTTATTAACTCCTCATTTCCCATCAGAATTTTTTTGCTGGGTCCTTTCCCTAGGAAGTCCTCAGGCGTTGTTCTCTTTCAAATTATTCTCCTAGGTTTGTATCTGATTTTCTCTCTCTCACAAAACTTGGGCAACTTTCATTTTTCCATGAATTCCAGCTTTCTTCAGTGTTTATTATATACTCTACGATCTTTGAAAATCTTTCTCCATCGGGGATTTTCAGGTAGGAGTTGATAAACTGATTTGTAGTATCTTCAATTCAAAGTGATTGTTCATCAGTTAAACCATAGTTTGAACTTTTGAATTTGACCTGCTCCTTGAGATATTGGAATAAAATTAGATACTGCAACAGGTTGTGTCAATGAAAGTTACTGTCACTCAGTTGTAAATCCATCAGCTTTTCACTTGTTAAAAATTTTGCAAAATATACATGCTCTCCTCCTGTTTTTAATTCTTCCATCTTTTTTTTTTTGAGCACTAAGTATCATCTAATTTGTAACTCTTAAAAACAACTAAAACTTTTTCAGAATAATTGAGAAAAGTTTTCCACAAAATCTTCTCATAGCATTGCACAGGGTTCCTGAAGTAATCCTGAAGTGACCAGAATTTTTGATACAGGTTTTAATCAACTGGAATAGAGCATGTTGTTGGAGCTTCCTCATCTCCCATTTCACCTTCTTCTACATCCATGCCTTCTTCTCTATCTTCCATGTGCTTCTGAGCCAGGGTGCTTTCCTGCTCATTGGTATTGAAAACAGTGACATTTTCCAGATTAAACTGACTCTGTAAGTTAAGACCTGATTTTTCAGATAGAGGGAAAAGCCTAGCCAAAAAGAGCTGAACTGGTCCACAGAAGACTGTATTCTGGGATTTAGATAATCTTCTTAGGAGATCATTGCACATACATAGTAAATAATTTTTCCCAGTAGAATAGAATGTATTTGATTTCCAAGTAGCAACATTTTTTTCCACAAAAGTAAATATTGTGTCACACTGATCCAAAGGAAGACAATCCAAAACATCTCCCAACAATATAAAAGGTGTAGATGTGGTACAAATACCCAGGCAGTCTGGCTCTAAAGCCTGTTTTCCTTACCATTAAGCTTCAGTTACTCGACCAATAGCAAGAGAAATAATAACTAAAATGTTTTCATATGATAAATGATTTATAATTTCTTTTTCTAGAACACCTCTGAAAGCTTGATCGAGGGTACATTTTTTTTTTTTTTTCATTTTCACTGCTAGGTACCTGGATGAAGGTACTTAACAATGGCTTGATGTTTTTGGTGTTCAAGGCCTCTCTGGTAGACTTCGTAAACCACGTCTGTGCTTCAGGCAAACAGAAGAGTGGCGGCATCGGAGACTGATTTACTATTTTCAGGGTGGTTTCTTATCTGTTAGGCTACGTATTGACAATAATACTGTCCAGGTATTTTGAATAGTACTATGCAGGTATATTGAATTTATCTTAGTGCTACATAAAATATTTTTCAGCATCATATGCATAGATGGCTAGTGACAGAGGTAGAACTAGAACTTCTACTGTGTTATCCCAGAGCATCCTAAAAATAAACAAAGTAGATGAAATAGAGGCCAAAGCCTCCCCTCCCAGTAAAACATAATGAATAAATAATTTACTTAAGTGTCTCTCTCTGTATACATTTTTTAATGTTACCTTAATTCAGCTTGAAGAAAATGATTGGAACTATCACAAAGCAAACTATAGGATAAAACCTGGTTTCTCTGGTTTGCCAATTCTACAAGTAGAACTCATTTACCAATATAAGTTTGATCATTATTGTAATTTTTGATTCAGTGAGTTGCCTAAATGTTTTCTATTTCTAGATTAAACTCTAAATTTCATTTATATTTATTATCATAAAATACTTCCACATCACTCTATCCACATATAAAAAGGAATCTGGGTTTCAGCCCAAATCCTAATTAACCTCATTAGAGAAGGGAATAATTCATAAAGTTTAGAAACCTGGAGATTTGCATATTACATCTGGGAATAGGGCAGAGAAGTTCACCCAACAGTGAAAGCCAGAATGAATGGATTAGTACAAGCCTAAACAAGGAAATGTCTAAAGAGAAACTTGAATTTATTCATTTCTTCCAGATTTACTGGTTTGTCTACAAAGAGAATAAAATACCTAGGAATTCAACTAACAAAGGATGTAAAGGACCTCTTCAAGGAGAACTACAAACTACTGCTCAATGAAATAAGAGGGGACACAAATAGATGAAAAAACATCTCCAAAATGCTCATGGTTGGGAAAAATCAACATCGTGAAAATGGCCATATTGCCCAAAGTAATTTATAGATTCAATGCTATCCCCATCAAGCTACCAATGACCTTCTTCACAGAACTGGAAAAAACACTTTAAACTTCATATGGAACCAAAAGAGAGCCCACAGCCAAAATAATCCTAAGCAAAAAGAACAAAGCTGGAGGCATCGCACTACCTGACTTCAAACTATACTGCAAGGCCACATTAATCAAAACAGCATACTACTGGTACCAAAACAGAGACAAAGACCAATGGAACAGAACAGGCCTCAGAAGCAACACCACACATCTACAATCATCTGATCTTTGACAAGCCTTACAAAAACAAGCAATGAGAAAAGAATTCCCTGTTTAATAAATGGTGTTGGGAAAACTGGCTAGCTATGAGCAGAAAGCAGAAACTGGACCCTTCTTGACACCTTACACTAAAATTAACTCCAGATGGATTAAAGATCTAAACATAAGACCTAACACCATAAAAACTCTAGAAGAAAACCTAGACAAAAGCATTCAGGACATAGGCATAGGCAAGACCTTCATGACTAAATCACCAAAAGCAATGACAACAAAAGCCAAAATAGATCAATGGGATCTACTTAAACTCCAGAGCTTCTGTACAGCAAAAGAAAACAATCATTAGAGTGAACCAGCAACCAACAGAATGGGAAAAAGTTTTTGCAATCTACCCATCTGACAAAGGGTTAATATCCAGAATCTACAAAGAACTAAAACAGATTTACAAGAAGAAAACAAACCCATTCAAAAGTAGGAGAAGGATATGAACTGACACTTTACAAAAGAAGACATTGATGAAGCCAAGAAACATATGATAAAATGCTCATCATAACTAGTCATTAGAGAAATGCAAATCAAAACTACATTGGGATACTGTCTCACACCAGTTAGAATGGCGATCATTAAACAATCTGGAGACAACAGATGCTGGAAAGGATGTGGAGAAATAAGAACACTTTTACACTGTTGGTGGGAGTGTAAATTAGTTCAACCATTGTGGAAGACGTTGTTTGTGGGAGTGTAAATTAGTTCAACCATTGTGGAATACAGTGTGGTGATTTCTCAAGGACCTAGAAATAGAAATCCCATTTGACCCAGCAATTCCATTACTGGGTATATACCCAAAGAATTATAAATTGTTCTATTATAAAGACATATGCACACGTATGTTCATGACTGCACTGTTTACAATAGCAAAGACCTGAAACCAACCCAGATGTCCATCATCGATAGACTGGATAAAGAAAATGCGGCACATATACACCATGGAATACTACATAACCATAAAAAATCATGAGTTTGAGTTCTTCATAGGGACATGGATCAATCTGGAAATGATCATTCTCAGCAAACTGACACAAGAACAGAAAACCAAACACCGTATGTTATCATTCATAGGCTGGTGTTGAACAATTAGAACACATGGACACAGGGAGGGGAGCATCACACACTGTGGTCAGTTGGAGGGGCTATGGGAAGGACAGCAGAGGTGGGGAGGGTGGGGAGGAATAATAAGGGGAGAAATACCAGATATAGGTGATGGGGGGAATGAAGGCAGCAAACCACATTTCCATGTGTGTACCTATGCAACAATCCTGCATGATATGCACATGTACCCCAGAACCTAAATTACAATAAAAAAAGAGGAACTTGGAAAATCTGTTAAGTACTATATTTCGTTTCTTTTCAAACATGAAAGGAAAGACAAAGCATCTATATCCCAGTTTTAAAAAAATCTTGGCTAAAGAGTTTAAAAGAGCAATCTCTGTTTCATGTGAGTCTCCTTTCAAACATAGTCAATTCAAATTATCTGGAATTAATTTTTATATGTAGATTAAGTCTGTTTAGATTTGTTCTGTAGATGCCACTTTATTACTATAGGGAGGCTGAATTACAATTTGTCCTTCTATCAGTCTTTAATGCAAATAGTTGTCATTGTTGAATCCTTATTATTATTTTGTTTTTCTCATTGTATCTCACACTTGCCTTAAGAAAATGTTATCTTATGCTCATTTTAAGAAATAGGGGTTCAAAGTAACAAAATAAATTGTCCAAAAAACTGCTTGTAAGTGGCAGTGTAACTATATCTGACCCTGAAGCAAATGCCTTTAATCACTGCTCTATGCTGTCAGATTTTTAAAAATAGTGTTGGTGAAAGAAAATTAGTAAAAGTCATATTTAAACATGGATGTATAGATTGATTAGTGTGATTGATTTTAATAAAATGATAAGAATTTGAAAAAGGCAGTAAAGATTTGATAGAGGCAGTCATCATCTTATAATGGCATCATATTCCAAACTATGTTGGTAGGACCAGTTTTTTGGAACTCTGAACATACAGTATTATAAATAAAATTTATGTTGACAGTCAAGTTGGTAGAAACAAGCAAACATGAATAAAAAAGCCTCAATACATAAGGATAAGGATGAACTGGTCCAGATTTGAGGTTTGGCAAGAATACTGCATCAGACCCAGCTCAGGTGGCTTTTATTTCCTGTCACTTTCAACCTAGCCAACAAAGTCTTAGAATGGATCTTCACCAGGTAACGATACAAGTGATTTTGTGGGTGAAGTTCTCGGAAGCTATCTTAGTTTGCTAGGGCTGCTATAACAAAATATCAAAGACCGTGTGGCTTAAACAACAGAAATTTGTACCTCACAGTTCTGGAGGCTAGGAAATTCAAGATCAAGGTGCTGGCCCAGTGGTTCCTGGTGAGGGTTCTCTCTTGGCTTGCCAATGGTGGCTGCTTTCTCGCTATGTCCTCACATGGCCTTTCCTGTCCTGTGTGCACATGGAGACAGAGAGAGAGAGAGACAGAAAGAGATGTCTTTCTCTTCTTTAAGACCATCAGTCTTATTGAATTAGGATTGAACACTTATTATCTCATTTAACTTAATTATCTCCTAAAAGTCTTACCTTCAAATATAGTCACATTGGGGGTTGAGTCTCCAACATTTTGGGGATACACATTTCAGAGCAGGAACATTCCCAGTATTTCAAGGAAGTGCTTCTAACTTGGTTAGTAAATTTGTCTTGGAAGTGGGGTTACTGCCCTTCTATCAGTAGGCTGGGGCTGAAGATACATTAGCTCTAGGGTCTACTTTCTCATGTGCAATTCAATTCTTTCCTTTCTGCATAGCTACAGACTTCCATTCTGTTTCTTGCAACATTATTATTAACCTTTAAGCAGTGCTGGTTATACCTATCACATTTCTGTAGAAAATACGGAAATCGCCAGCTTCTTATGTTGTACATTTTATGATCATTTGCCCAAATCATGGTGTTTGTTTGTTTGTGGTTGTTTTTTTAAAGTCGAAGAACTAGTCTGGGAAAACGAATGTTTTCTAGAAATGTCCTCCAATGAGAAAGTGTATTTTTTGCTCACAATAAGAAGGAAAGACTTGGCAGGAAAAACAGATCCTCACTGTTTAATTTCTTTTCTACCCTCATTTCTCAACTGTAATTGCAAAACACATGTAAGAGAGCAGAAGGCATTGCCCAGGAAGTCAATTCTTGTAACCTGAAATTGAGAAATAGATTTGTTTACTGATTCAGTTAGTTGTTCAGACTAGCTATGAAAGGACACAGAAGGCTTATTTTAAAATTGGAGATCTTTTTTCTAATTATGCATAATAAAATTCATATACTAAACATTCTAATGGCCCCAATCTAAATATGTAGTATGTATCACAATATTTGAGGAAAATGATCAGTCATTATCACTAATACGAAAAATGGTGGATAGATATTCCCAGTGGGAGCAGAGAGAAATTTCTGATAAATCCTACCCATATTGTCATTATTATCTCTCCACTTTTGGCATCCTGCCCCAACTTAATCTCATGAATGGAATGAAAATACTGCTTCTATATAAAATCTCTATACAAATGGTGTTTTTCAGAGCATAAAATAGTTGATGGTTATGTTCTCTTCCTTCTTATGCTTTTAAAATAACTGTGCCTCTTCCTGTGTTACACATTATATATTTATTTGCTTACTCTGTCTTTTCTTTCACATTGAAATGTGGGAATCACATTTGTTCTTTCTGGTACCCACTGGAACTCAATGTATATTTGTGGAATAAATCTTTTATGAATTAAAGATTCAGTAAAAATTGTTTTATTTTGTATTTTCTCTTACAGAAAGCAAAAGGTCACTGGAGAAATTTAAAACAAATATACAAGCTAAAATTATTTTAAATGGTGTCAATAAAAGTGAATATAATGGGTAATGAACTTCAAGTATAAATTAATCCTTTATTATAGAGAAGACAATTATTACTTAATCACTTTTTCCTTTCTAATGCCTTTGTTTTTTAGAAAATATGCCCGAATTCTGTAATCATGAAATGTATTCTCAAAACTCCTATTAAATAGACAGTAATGGAGTCACATCAGCATCAGGCTGCAACTGATTTGCTAAGGAGTCAATATCTTTATAGATTTGAGTTAATCACTGTTTGTAGAGAGATATGTGGTATAGAGTTGCACAGAAGGCCAGTACTAGAGAGGCTGTTATAATAAGCTTAGTTGTTTATATTGTACTTTCTGGCTTAGCTCATGACTATAGAGTCTCTAATATACTGTGCAGTCTACCAAAGAATTCCAAATTGCTTTCAAGGTTTATTATGTAAGGTGTTTATTGTGTCTGAACAAATTTGGTCCCACAATAAATCATTAAAATGTGATGTATTTTATTGACATCTTATTGATGCAATAATTAGTTTCTTTTTACAGTTATTAAACATGTGAAAAACAAAAAAATAAATGTTTTCACAGAATTTTTTCTCTATATTTTGCAAACTTTTGATTAGAAATAATTTTCATATTAATTTTTCTATTTTAAAATATCTATAGCATATTCCTCTTTTGATATAATTTATATGACCATGATAAGCTTACATGTTCTCTGTCACTCACAAATATTATTTTTTCTCATCTCTGTAATGGGAAAAATTTGAAAAAGGTTTATCAATGAAATCATTTAAGTGTTGTCTATTTTATTTATGTTTGATGCCATTTACAAAAAATAGTTCATTTTTCATCTAAGTGATGTATCAACATAAGTCTAAAGAAAGCACTCTGTGATATTGTTAAACTGGTATTCATTATAATTAAACAAAATTTTACTATGACCATTCATAATACACTTAAATACTTTCTTCCAAAGGTAGAAAGGATTGAGAGAATGAAGATTTCTTACAAACTGCTTTTATTTAATTTTTTTTTTTCAAAATTGTAGTATTCTGCTTATTTTTTAGCTACATATTTAACTGTTCTATTCTTTTACTATTTAAAAAATTAAAACTGCCTTTTTAAATTGGAAAAGTAATACATGTCTATTGTTTCGAAATCATAAAATATAAAGCAGAATACAGAAAATACAGAATAACCACCAATCTACCTATTCAGAAACAACTTCTGTTGTGTATGATTTCTTATGCACATAAATATGTGTGTGTGTATACATGTGACTGTATTTATATGATCATATGCAAATGATCACTGCACATATATTGCTTGGTAAACTCCTTTGTCATTGAATGAGATAATATTAGTGACTTTTGAATAGGAACAGCTCTGGTATGCAGCTCCCAGTGAGATCAACACAGAAGATGGGTGATTTTTGCATTTCTAACTGAGGTACCTGGCTCATCTCATTGGAACTGGTTAGACAGTAGGCATAGCCCACAGAGGGCAAGCCAAAGTAGGGTAGAGTGTCGCTTCACCTAGGAAGTGCAAGAGATCAGGGAACTCCCTCCCTTAGCCAAGAAAAGCTGTGAGGGACTATGCCGTGAGGAACTCCAGCGCAGATACATTATGCTTGTCCCATGGTCTTTGCAACCTGCAGACCAGGAGAATCCCTCAGATGCCTATGCCACCAAGGCCGTGGATTTTTAGAACAAAACTGGGCAGCCATTTGGGCAGACATTGAACTAGCTACAAAAGATTTTTTTTTCATATCCCAGTGGCACCTGAATGCCAGCAGGAGATAATCATTCACTCCCCTAGAAAGGAGGATGATGCCAGGGAGCCAAGCGGTCTAGCTCAGCAGATCCCACCTCCATGGGGTCCACCAAGCTGAGATCTACTGGCTTGAAATTTTTACTGCCAACACAGCAGTCTGAAGTTAACCTGGGATGCTCTGCCTTGGTGGCGGGAGTGGCATCCACCATTACTGAGGTCTGAGTAGGCAGTTTTCTCCTCACAGTGTAAACAAAGCTGCTGGGTAGTTTGAACTAGGCAGAGCCCACTGCAGCACCACAAATCTGCTGTAGCCAGACTGCCTCTCTAGATTCCTCCTTTCTGGGCAGGGAATCTCTGAAAGAAAGGCAATAGCCCCAGTCAGGGGCTTATAGAAAAAAACTCCTATCTCCCTGAGACAGACATGGCACCTGGGGGAAGGGATGGCTGTGGGCGCAGCCTCAGTAGATTTAAACGTTTCTGCCTGGCAGCTCTGAAGACAGCAGTGGATCTCCCAGCACAGCGCTCAAGCTCTGCTAAGGGACAGACTACTTCTTCAAGTGGGCCCCTGACACCCATGCCTCCTGACTGGGAGATATCTCTCAGCAGGGGTTGACAGACACCTCATAAAGGAGAGCTGCCACTGGCAGCTAATGGGTGCATCTCTGGGAGGAAGCTTCCAGAGGAAGGAACAGGCAGCAATCTTTGCTGTTCTGCAGCTTCCTCTGGTGATAGCCAGGCAAACAGGGCCTGGAGTGGACCTCCAGCCAACTTCAGCAGACCTGCAGCAGAGGGGCCTGACTGTTAGAAGGAAAAGTAACAAACAGAAAGGAATAGCATCTATATCAACAAAAAGGACGTCCATGCAGAAACACCATCCAAAGATCAACATCAAAAACCAAAGGTAGGTAAATTCAAAAAATCAGAAAAAAACAGCACAAAAAGGCTGAAAATTTCAAAAACCAGAATGCCTCTTCTCCTCCAAAGAATCACAGCTTCTTGCCAGCAGGGAAATGAAACTGGACAGAGAATGAGTTTGACCAACTGACAGTAGTAGACATAAGAATCTGGCTAACAACAAACTCCTCTGAGCATGTTCTAACCCAACATAAGGAAGCTAAGAACCTCGAAAAAAGGTTAGAGAAATTGCTAACTAGAATAACCAGTTTAGAGAAGAACATAAATGACCTGATGGAGTTTAAAAACACAACACAAGAACATTGTGGAACATACACAAGAATCAATAGATGAATCCATCAAGTGGAAAGAAGGATATCAGAGACTGAAAATTATTTCAACTATTGTAGATGGCAGTGTGGCGATTCCTCAAGGATCTAGAACCAGGAATACCATTTGACCTAGAAATTCCATTACTCAAAGGATTATAAATCATTATACTATAAAGACACATGCACATGTATGTTTATTGTAGCACTGTTCACAACAGGAAAGACTTGGAAACAACCCAAATGCCCATCAATGATAGACTGGATAAAGAAAATGTGGCACATACACATCATGGAATACTATGCAGTCATACAAAAGGATGAGTTCGTGTCCTTTGCAGGGACATAGATGAAGCTGGAAACCATCATTCTTAGCAAACTAACACAGGAACAGAAAACCAAACACTGCATGTTCTCATTCATAAGTGGGAGATGAACAATGAGAACACATGGACACAGGGAGGGAAACATCACACACGGTGGCCTGTGGGGGTTAGGGAGTTAGGGGAGGGATAGCATTAGGGGGAATAACTAATGTAGATGCTGGGTTGATGGGTGCAGCAAACCACCATGGCACATGTATACCTATGTA